TAATGGAGTGTTTAAAGTTCTCCCACAACCACTGTGTTGGCGTTTTAATGATTGCTTTAGGTCTTTCAGGGTTATGTTTGATGAAATTGGGTGCATTGACTTGGGTGGTACAGATTGGATGATTATTATTTCCTTTTCGTCTATTCCTTTGTATTAGTATGGATGTCCTTTTATCTCGTTTGATCAATTAGGTTTAAGTCTACTTTGTCAGAATAAGTATTGCTACTCCTGCTTTTTCGGGGCCATTGGCTTGGTAAATCTTCTTCCAGCCTTTCATCTAAAGCATATTGCTTATTTCTGTCGTGAGATGAGTTCCTGTAAGCAACAAATTGTTGGATCTTCTTTTAATCATTTTTCAAACGTGTTTTTGATGGGGAATTAAGTCCATTAACATTAAGTGTTATACTGATAGGTATGTGGTGATTCCTGCCATTTAGTTATCTTAGTTGTTGAAGGTTTGATTGGGTACTAACTTGATGTTACTCTCTACTGTCTGCTTTTTCGTTTTCTGTGGTTTGGTGCTGCCTGCTTTTCTGGTTAAGTTTGGGTGTCACTTTGTGTGGCAGATCCCTTGCAGAATCTTTTGTAATGGTGGCTTTGTGGTCACATATTGTTTTAGTTTCTGCTTATCATGGAAGACTTTTATGCTCCATCTATTTTGAATGATAGCTTTGCTGGGTAGAGTATCCTGGGGTTGAAGTTATTTTCATTCAGTGCCCGGAAGATCTCACCCCATGCTCTTCTTGCTTTTAATGTTTCTGTTGAGAAGTCTGCTGTGATTTTGATGGGTTTACCTTTGTATGTTACTTTTTTTTCTCTCTTACAGCCTTCAATATTCTTTCCTTAGTTTCTGAACTTGTTGTTTAATGATGATATGTCGTGGAGTAGTTCTATTTGATCTGGTCTGTTTGGTGTCCTGGAGGCTCTTGCATTTGTATGGGAATATCTTTCTCTAGATTTGGGAAATTTTCCGTTATTATTTTGTTGAATATATTACGCATTCCCTTCGCTTGCACCTCTTCTCCTTCTTCGATGCCCATGATTCTCAAGTTTGGTCTTTTGATGGAGTCAGTGAGTTCTTGCATTTTCTTTTCACAGGTCTTGAGTTGTTTAATTAATAGTTCTTCAGTTTTCCTTTAATTACCATTTCATCTTCAAGTTCTGAGATTCTGTCTTCTGTTTGTTCTATTCTGCTGGATTGGCCTTCCGTTTTGTTTTGCAGTTCTGTTTCGTTCTTTTTTCTGAGGTTTTCCATATCCTGGCTGTTTTCTTCTTTATTGTTGTCTATTTTTGTCCTGAGTTCATTTATCCATTTATTCATTGTGTTCTCTCTTTCACTTGGTGTTTATACAGTGCTTCTATGGTTTCCTTTATTTCTTCTTTGCTTTTTCAAATTCTCTATTTTTATTGTCTTGGAATTTCTTGAAGTGTCTCCTGTACATTTTGGTTGACCCTATCCAGTATCATCTCTATAAAATTCTCATTGATATTGTAGTATGTCTTCTTTTAAATTATTCTTGTGGGCTTCATTGGGTCCTTTGCATAGTTTATCTTCATTTTGTTGGAGTCTGGATCTGAGTTTCTGTTCTCTTCATTCCCCTCTGGTTCCTGTACTAATTTTTTGCTGTGGGGAAACTGGTTTCCTTGTTTTTCTGTCTTCCTGTCATTGTCCTTGGTGTTGTTACTGTCCCTGTACTGTGTGTAATTAAGTATTTTCTAGCTTGTAATAATAACAATGGTAATATTGAGAATGGAAGAGTGAGCTGAGATGGAAAGCAAGAAGTTAAAGAAAAGGGAAAACAAATATACAGACAAGAGGGAGAAAGCAGACAAGGTATCAGACAAGAAGAGTTCAAAGGTATAAACAGGGAGTGTTAGTGTACTAATCGACAGTAAGCTGAACAGACATAGAGTGAAGAGAGAGGATTGAAAATCAAAGATAAAAAATAAAAAAAAAAATAAGTATATGAAAGTAAATATCTATAAAAATGAATTAAATAAAATGGAAAATAGAAAAATTAAAAAAACAAAAAAACAAAAAACCAAAAACTTCCAAGTTTATATGCAATGCAATTTCAGTCTTATAATAATTGGATGTCGTCTCAATCTCCAGTCCTGGAGTTGGTGCCTCAGATGTTTGTTCTGTAGTTGTCTCTCAAAGGGGATGCATAAAGTAGAACAAAACTACACTCACACACAACAAGAAGAAAAAAAAAAAGCCCACCAAGTGTCCCCAGTTCAAATGCAATACAGTTTTCAGTAAGTTTTTCGGCTTGCAGGTGTAATTCGGTTGTTCTCTCATCAAAGGTAGGGAGAAAAGAAAAAAAAGCGTCTGGAGCAGTTTCTGAGAGTGGTATCTGCAACTGTGGCTTGCCTGCCTGCTGCTCTCAGCCTGCTGGCGGCATTATTTATGCAGATCTCTGTGAGCTTAGCACTCACCTGGTCCCAACAGGCTTTGTTTGCTCAGAGTTCTCCTGTGCGGGGCGAGGGGGGCCTCTGATTAACAGGCTTTTCCTTTTCAAGACTGGGAAAGGCGACACTGCCCCGCGTTGTCAGGCCTGCGTGTTATTTACAGTTCACGTGGGAAGTGGTCTTCCCTCCTCTCACAACTCCCGCTCCTGGTTGCTGGGCGCCCCGCCCCGCAAGAGCTCTCCGCCCGCCCGCTTCGTTTCTTTACAGTCCCGGAAGGATCCTTCCCCCAATCTTCAGCGCTCAGGCCCCACCCTCTTTCCACGTCTTAACTGTTCTTATTGCTTAGTACTCAGTTTCTCTTTTTTTCCCGGTGGAGGTCAGTCTGTCCAGGGGCTTGCGCTCTGGCCAGGCTGTCTGGGGGACCGCGGTACCGCGAAGCTCACCTGGTCCGCGTCTTCCCGACCGTATGGGCGCCGGCCACTGGCGCCCGGGGCCCTCCTCGTTCTCCGTTTAATGTGAAGTGGAGATTTCTGCGCCGGCTGGAGATGTGGAGTGGTCAAAGTTATGCCTTTTCTCTTGGTGATTATGCCTGCAAAGTGTGTCTCCACGTCTCTCCAAGATTTCACTATAGGAGGGGTCGCTTTCTGCTTCCTACCTCTAGCCGCATCTTGGAATCAAGTCGAAACTCTCTTCTGCACCAAGCCAACTCTACCGGCTCCGCCCCACTGGTAGCCCTTCCCCTCGTGTGGAGTGGGGCAGAAGGACATGGCGGACGCTGGGCTCACTTTCCCGCCCCCACGCTGCCGGGGAAACCGTTTTACAACTGTTTTGCGTGTGAACCAGTCATGGCTCACCCCTCTCTGGGGCATGTAGTAAGTAGTTTTTTGTTTCCAGGTTAGAGCAGCTGGTTGATCTTGTCTCGATCGTTTTGTGGCCGGCCTGTGCTTCCGGGTCCACTACCAACGCCGGATGGAGTGCATTGCTGCATCCACAGAAGAAAATACAACTGAAAGCCTACCCTCGCCACTCCAGGCCTCAGAGTCATGGTGTCTCTTTTACCCAGTGAACTGAGTCCTTGAGACCAAGGTCATGTCTTGTTCAAAATTTTGTCCCTACCTCCTGAAGGAATGTATTCGTTCTTTTCTCATAGAACTGAGGTACAGAGTAAGGAGAAATGTAGTTACTTTTCTGTCCATGAACTCTTTGTGCATTGGATGCCATCTTGCCTTTGTATCCCCAGTAGCCAGCATGAGTCAGACATCCAGGAAGTAGCCAGCATAGATTAACTCATTGGATGAATATATATATGTCAGACCTCTGTGTCATTGTACACTTTGATCCCTATTGGCTCAGAAAACACTCTTTCTCCCTTCTTCTATATCCATGGAAAACATGGCAGAATCAGTCCAGAAGACAAGCTTCAGACTCAGGCAAACTTGGGTTAATCCTAGTTTTGCTATTTACTAACAGTATGTGTGGCCTTGTTTCCTCTGTAAAATTAGCAAAATAAAATCTACTAAGGATTAGGTGACTTGCCTGCAAAGTACCATATGTGTTCAATTCTCTGGCAGCATACATCATAATTATTATAATTTATTCAACAATGGTTTGGGATTTCTACCAGATACTAAGCACAGGGTAGAGAGTGATGAGAGAAGGAGTTCTGGTTTGTAAGCTCTTTAAGTTGGACCCTGTCTTGCTGTTGTATCTCTTACATCTAGCATGGTGCTTGCCTGACATTTAGAATTGACTGGTATAGAGACTCATTTAACAAGCAAATGAATAGACCTACTTTTTTGTTTTATTTGTAGCTTTTATATTTTTTGTGCTTGCTTGACTTTTTTCATTAAACAATTACATGAGTCTTACGAAGTTCAGCACTTCAATTTTAGCGATTTTTTGTTGTTGTTATTGTTGTACTGGGGCTTGAACTCAGGGCCTACACCTTGAGCCACTCTACCAGCCCTTTTGTGTTAGGTATTTTTCAAGATAGGGTCTTATGAACTATTTGTCCAGGCTGGCTTCGAATGTGATCCTCCTGATCTCCGCCTCCTAAGTAGCTAGGATTATAGACGTGAGCCACTGGTGCCTGGCTTCATTTTTTTTTTTTTTTTTTTAAGAAATAGGGTCTCGGGCTTGCAGGTGTGGCTCAAGTGGTAAAATGCACCTAGCAAGCAAGAGGCCTTGAGTTCAAATCCCAGTACTGAGATAAAAAGAAGAAATATATTCTCACTATGTTACCCAGGCTGGTCTCAAATTCCTGAGCTCAGGTGAATCTTGGCTTTACTAGTAGCTGGTACTACAGACATGTACCACCATGCCCAGCTCTAGTTTTAGCTGCTTTTTAATGTATGCACACCATGCCAGCCTTCCCTTGGTGTAACGGTTATATCAGGAAGTAAGGTCATGCTCCTCTCTTTCAGATTCTATGACAAAGTACTTTCTTTGCATGAGGATTCAACAGCCCCTGTGGTCAACCCTCTGCTTGCCTTTACTCTCATCAAACGTCTGCAGTCTGACTGGAAGAATGTGGTACATAGTCTGGAGGCCAGTGAGAACATCCGAGGTAAGGAGGAGGAGAGCTGGAGCGTCTCTCCACCCAGTGATAAGAGAGAGATTGCGATGGGATATGATGAAGGACAACAGAGTGGATAGGTATTCCTTAATCTCTTTAGCTCTTGTGAATCCAAAGAATTAGGTCTTCTTGCTAATAGGTTTATATGATTAGAGATTAGAGGACACCTTCATATTCACTGTTTCTTTTGACTCCCACTACAGAGCTCGGGGTATAGCCCAAGTGGTACACTTGCCTACCATGTGCAAGGCCCTGGACTCCATCCCCAGCACTGAACAAAAATCCCCACTACATTCCTGTGAAGAAGTACTTGACATATCCACCGATTTGTGCAGATTATTGTCTTAAGCATCCGCTCTGTGCCAGGAACTAAAACATCATCTCACTGCATGTTTGAACAGGTGGTCATGCCCTGCGTCTGTCAAATGCTCACCACCTGGTTTTTAATGTATTTCCTACCTTCGCAGCTCTGAAGGATGGTTATGAGAAGGTGGAGCAAGATCTCCCAGCCTTCGAGGACCTTGAGGGAGCAGCACGGGCCCTGATGCGGCTGCAGGACGTGTACATGCTCAATGTAAAGGGCCTGGCCCGGGGTGTCTTCCAGAGAGTTACTGGCTCCGCTGTCACTGACCTGTACAGTCCCCGGCGGCTTTTCTCTCTCACGGCCGATGACTGCTTCCAAGTAGGCAAGGTAACCAGTTGCTTGGCTCTGGTTTCTTGGGAATGAAATAATGCTGTCCCAATTGCTTTCATGTATTTCTCACACTGACAGGAAACTTGGAAATTTGATATTATTCCCATTTTCAGAGGAAGAAACCAAGGGTGCAAAGAGGGTAGATACTAACAGTACACAGTTTTAAGTGACAGAACTCAGTTTTGAACCTGGTCTTTGAACTCTAAATCCCATGCTCTTCCATGCAAAAGTGAAGTGATCAGATACTTAGGATTCTCTTGAGAATAAAAGGGTGTTATTAATTGTGCCAGGAAAACAGACATAAACTAGGCAAAATGATCCTTTGGTCACCCTAACGATAGCCCCTGCCACTGGGTGGACAAGGAAAGCAGGGGGAAGGGTGAGGGTAAGAGATGGTGATGCCAAGTTTTGATCATGGAAAATCAGCCTGCTGAGACCTTCTGGAATCTCTTGTTATCTTTTGTAAGTATTTAGAAATACCACATTAAATTGGTGTCAAAATACTGAGGCCTTTCACTTCAATATCACATGTGATATATTTAACTGGTCTTTGATCATCCTGAGATCATTTTAAAATATACACGTTGCCAGCCTGGGCCTGAAGACACAATGGAGTAAATATCTTATAACTGCTAAGATGCATGGCACAGGAAAGTTAGCTTTTCCTGGCCTCTGCAGTATCCATTAGCAGATCTGAGAGTGGCCTCATGGGCCCTAGTTCCAAGTATTGGAGATAATGCTTCCAAATTAATACAGAGTGCGTTCCTTTGAGTTTCTCTGCATACTGTTTTTTCTTTCTGATGTCCTGAGTGGAATCAACCTCATTGTCATGCTCATCACTAATTTATATTTAAGCTGGTTAAAAATTGGGTGTGGGGCACCCATATATGCTTCATTTGCAAGGCCTTTCTGAAACTAAAACCACATGTTGAAAACTTAGTAAATCAACTTCCTGAGAATCTTGATGGCAATCTTTGTTTCTGTATTTCTCTACTTATTTTGAAAAATAGAACATTTCAAAATAACAAAAGTACATAAAATAATATAACAAGCAATTATATCTGTAGTTAAAGTGAAAATATATTCAAATTAGGCTCTAATTTTTCCTTCTCACCACTCACTACCCTCCCCCTATCCAGGTAACCATTGTCCTGAACCATATAGTGTATGAGATTTTGAGTTTTGCTTCTTTTACTCTGAATGTTATGTCATAAAGTTCATCTACTTTGTTGCACTTATTAATAGTTCACTCCTTTTTATTAATGAATAGTATTCTATTATCTGAATATATCACAAACTTTTTATATACATGTGATTTATTTATTTTATTTATTTTTTATTATTGTTATACTGGGGGTACATTGTGACTTTACAAAAGTTCTTACAATATATCATAGTTGTATTCACTCCCTCCATCATTTTCCTTTATCTTCTCTCCCCCATTCCTGGAATAGTTTCACCATGTCTCATTTTTCATTTTCATACATGAGTACGTAATATTTCCATCATATTCACCCAACCACACACTTTTCTTATATCCTCCCCTTTCCCACTGGGGTCAACCACCAAGGCAGGAACTGATTTACCTTCTTGTTCGCTGTTATGGAAAAAAGACATTTTTGTTTGTTTAAGATAGCTATACAGGGAGTTTCACTGTGACATTTCCATGTATATATGTATTATAACTTCTTTTTTTTTTCTCCTTTATACCTTAGTCCCCTTCTTATGGTGACTTCAATAGGTTTAAAAATTCTATATTCATTCTTGTATAGAAAGTACATCAACCATATTCACCTTCTTAACTTCCTTCTTTACCCTCCCTTTCCTGTTAGTGACATCCCCTTAGTGTGACCTATTTTTCATAAAATTGCTTGTATTTGTATTGTCTGTCTCCCACATATGAGAGAAAACATGGTGCCTTTGGCTTTCTGAGCCCTGCTAACTTCACCTAAGATGATGTTCTCCAGTTCCATCCATTTATCTACAAACAACAAAAGTTCAATCTCTTTATGGCCAAATAAAATTCCATTGTGTATAAATACTACATTTTCTTAATCCATTTGTCGGTAGTGGGGTATCTTGGCTGTTTCCATAGCTTGGCTATTGGAATATGTGCAATAAACATGGGTGTACCACAAAATTTTTAATCCACTCTCCTTTTGATATATACTTAGACTATTTCCAATCTGAGCTTCTGTATATAAGGCTGCTATTAACATTCTTAAATATGTCTGGTGACAATTCTCTTTGATGAATACCTGAGAGTGAGATTGCAGGTCAAAGAATAAACTCAGTTATTAGCAGATAGTCAAATTTGTTTCATATGTGCTTCCCCCATCTCTTCCTTCAGGATTCTTTTACCCTTCTTTTTTTTTTTTTTTTTTTTGAGGGAAGAAGTGGTACTGGGGTTTGAACTCAGGGCCTTATGCATGCGAGGTAAGCACTCTACCACTTGAGCCACTCCACCAGCTCATGTGTTCTTTTAAAGTAAACCATCCTTTGTATCTTCTGAAGTTGCGGATTGTCTACTTGTACTACTGTCCAGTTCTGTCTGTTGACTCTTACTCATGATGGATTGTTTCCTAACATCCTTTGTCATGTTTGAGTCGGGGCTTATTTTCTGCAGGATACTTTTCCCCCTGAGAGAATCTCTGTGTCCAGAACTATGGGGATATCCCCCTAGAGAGTTCAAGATTTTCTTCTTCCAGGAACTCTGGTGCTATCACTGGCCTTAGCTCCATTTTTATATGATTTATTGGCTTGGAAGTCCTTGATTATATGCATATCACAAATTTAAAACCTAAAAATCACATGGGGCAATGGCATTAATTGTGAATATTCTAAGGAGACATTTTATTTCTCTACACAGAAACAAACCAACTTCTTGTCTCCTTAACCAGTACATAATTTTTTTTCTGGCCCAACCATTTGCTTAAGGTGTAGTTATTTATGGGATCTGGTTTTATTAGTGTGTCTTAGTTCTAATGCCTAGGTTTTTAGAGTTCTAAGGAAGGCATTATAGCCTAAGATAATTAAACACAAGGTTACTGAGAATAACACCCACCCCCATCCTACATACCTTAAGCATTTGCTCATAAGGGGATTGCTTAGGTTTTCAGCTAAGTTTTTGTTTCTGGTACCTGGTATTTTCCATTTTTTCTTGAAAACATATAATAAAATGCTCTGTATATTTTCTCCAAGAGGTCTAAATCTTTGTGTCTACCATATTGTGGGAACTTGAAGTGCCTCATGGGAGTACTGAGTAAGTAGGTTAGGGCTATTTAACCAATGGTGAGAGTTGGATATAACTCAGTGGTAATGGCCTTGCTTGCATGGACAAGGTCTTGCTGACTCCCAGCATCACACACACACACACACACACACACACACACACACACACAAAAGCTAACTCAGCAGGAAAAGTTTCGTCACTTTTTGTTGTCATTCTTCAGCTTAGCCTTTCTCAAATAAGAAATTTGAGGCCCAGAAAGATAAGACAGCAGGTTAATGGCAGACCTGTGATAGGAGTTGCTTCATGATTTAGGCTACAGAGTTCCAGTACCTCTAGACTCTGCTCTGTGTGTGTGAATTAGGTCATTTTGTAAGAGCTGTTCCAACTCAGTGATTTTGTAATTCTGTGCTTTTCCAATGTCGACTTCCAGGAAATTCTGCCCACAGGTCTGGTATTCTCATTAACTGCAAGCTGGTAGGAGACAGGAGCCATGTCTGGTACATGGTGCCACATTGGCCAGAATTCCATTCAATAAGAACAGATCCTCTGATCTCTCCTAGTATTCCCATGTCTGCCTTCATACAGTGTCTAATGCACTGTGTCACAGGGATGGTTTTACTCATGTGCCCTTGCTTGATTCAAGGACAAGAACCACCAGATTCACAATACTCAGCAAATACGGAGTAAATAAGTGAATTTAGTCCATTTCTCACATTGCTGCTAGCAATAGCTTCCTAAAAACATGACGTTCAAAATATAATTAGCTTAGCCCACATAACCTTTTTATGTTCATTTTCTGTTTTTCTTCACTTTAGATTAGAGTCCTAATGAAGTATGCAAACGTATTCTGCCATTCCCTCATCTTAAAATGCAATTCCTCTCAATCTCTGCTCACTGAAGTCCTTTTCCTTCTTCCAGGAAGGCCCAGCTCAGATGTCACTTCTTCTACGAAGCCTACTGAGATTGCCAAGTCCCCTCCCTCATCTATGCCACCATGGCATACTAGGCCTTTCCCTTCAAGTCTCCAGGCCACTCTGCCAATATTAACCTCTTCAAGTTCACCTCTCTCTCCACTCCCGAATTATAAATTAAAGAGTTCTTGAGTCTCCTCTCTGCTCAGTGCACTGTCTTATGTATAATAGATGCTCAGTAAATTGAAGCGAATGTGAGATTAAAACTTGTGTTCCCTGCAGGTGGCCTATGACATGGGGGATTACTACCACGCTATTCCATGGCTGGAGGAGGCTGCCAGTCTCTTCCGAGGATCTTATGGAGAGTGGAAGACAGAGGATGAGGCAAGTCTAGAAGATGCCTTGGATCACTTGGCCTTTGCCTATTTCCAGGTAAGGGAATAAGGGAAGCGACTGCTTTGCTCACAATAAATGTGATGCTATACTGCTTTATGACTTTCCAAGCATTTTCATGTCTCTTAATTTGTTTCATCTTCCCACTGGCGCAAATGCAGGGAAGTGGCTTATTATTTCCATAGACTGCATGCAAGCAAGCTGAGTCTTCAAACAATTCTTAACTTGTCAGGAAGCTCACAGAACTGGTTTTAGAATCCAGCTCTGTCTGTGAGTCCAGAGCTCTAACCAATGCACCAAGTCCTTTCCAATCATGGTGCCCCATGTAGGAGACAGCCTCTTACCTGTAGCAGCAGCACCTGCGTCACAAATGTTTAATGGGGTCAAAGTAAGTGGCGCTCACTCTGCACTCTCAATACCTTATGACTCTTCCACAAATATTATGCCATGATATTGCCATGGAGGAAGAAGTTAGCTTATCCTCTTCTCTACCACTGAGTCCAGCTGTACTCTGGCCAAGGTTGGGTGCAGAGGTGGAGTCATTGTGCCTTAGTGCCAGCTTCAGGGCCTCCTCAAGTGTCACCTTTCCTTGGCACCTGCCGTGCTTCACAAAGATGTTCATTTCCCTAAATATGGCAGTTGCCATCTTTTTTTTGTATCACTAACCCCATCTTCCACCAGAGTTGTATAAGTTCTCAAGAATAGTCTGGAAAAATTGCCATGGAGCCAGTTCCCTGGAGTTTCCAAAGCTGATAAACCATTGCTGTTTCCTGTGTGGTATTTAGTGGTGCTGGGGATTGAACTAAGGAGTGCCAAGCAAGTGTTCTAGAGCTACATCCCTAACCCCATACATTCCTTTTTCTTTTCCCCTCTTCCTGAGAAAAAGAAGGAGGATGAGGGTGTTTCAAACTCACTTGTAGCTACAAAAACAGATTCATCAGGTCCAGCCAGCAGTCTTTCCATGGACATTTTTGTTGTATGTCTCATGCTCTTCCTAATTCTCCCACTCAGTTGTTACATGTTAAAGTGCAAACAAAATAACTGTGATATAACAAAGAGCAAGAGCGACTGAGTTTCGTAGAGGAAGAAAATGCAGAACTGGTATAGAGAGACTCAGAGAAGGTGCACTAAAGCAGCTCACTCAAGAGATGGAGTTGTAGATGCTGCGCCCGCCCCTCTGGTGATCAGCTTTGCTCTGTCCCCCCTCGCTCCGATGTCAAGCTTCTCTGCTTGCTGGTAGGGAATTCTGTCATCGGCAAGCTCAGCTCATATGTCACCTACCTGTGAAATCTTCCTTAACTCTCCTCCTACCCAACTTGTCCCTGCTGCTCTCACAGCAGTTTTTTTTTTTTTACACCAAAGTAATAAAACACATAAGATATAGATGATTTATGCTCTCCACTTACCCCCAGTAAATTGGAGGGGTAAATGTCCCCCCATGGGTCTTTTGTTATCTTATGAAACACTAACATATATATTTTAGTAAAAATATGTTAGTGCCTGCCAATGATGGTAGAGTGTAGTGGTTAAACCATAGCTGCTGGAGTCACACAGATCAGAGGTGAACTTCTGGGGAAACCTGGATAACCTGCTTAACCTCCCTGGGCCTCAGTTTTCTTACCTGTAAAAGGGGAATGATGATGCTCATGATGGAGAGCTGCTGTGAGGATTAGATGAGCCAATCCATGCAATGCCTTTAACCCAACCTAAGGCACACACTGTGTGCTATAAATGCAGGCTGTTCTTCCTAGATTATACACAAGTGATGCTTAATGTGCACATTTCCAGAAATATTTAACTGGGGACCAGAAGTAACTCTAACTTTTTCCTTCACAAAATATGACTTTATTTTATTACAAGACTCTTGAGCTTTAAAAATATGTAAAATTGTGCTTTAGTTCTCTTCATCTTACAGAGTTCAAAAAGCTATGATTTGGAGTTAATATCTGACATTACAGGATACTCATAGATTACTTAAGTATAGAACAGAATAGGTCATTATAAAAAATAATTAGAAACAATCCTATTTCACAACAATAGTGAAATGATTGTCATCTATAATGTTGCTTCTGGGTGGAATAAAAGGCATAGAAAGTGCTTTCCATGAGGTTGGGTACAGCAGTTCACATCTGTAATCCCAGCTACTTGGGAGGCAGTGATCAGGAGGATTATGTTTTGAGGATAGCCCAGGCAAAAAGTTAGTAAATCCCATCTCAACAAACAAGCTAGGCATGGTGGTCGTGCCTGTGATCCCAGTTATGCAGGAGGTAGAGATAGGAGGATATCAGCCAGAAGCCAGCTCTGGCAAAAAGTACAAAACCCTATCTGAAAAATAACTGAAGCAAAAAAGCCCAGGGTCCTGGCTTAAGTGGCAGAGTGCCTGCCTCACAAGTGTTAAGCCCCTGAGTTCAAACCCTAGTACTGCCCAAAAAAATGCTTTCTGTGAAGACTGTCATGATCTAAAAAGATTCCTGATCCCAATGTAGAGCGAAATAATCAGGATATGAAAATGAGAGAGAAGATGAGAGTGACTACGTAAAAACTATATATTGTCTGAAGCATTAAATGTGCCTGGATTGCAGAAGAGTAATTTTATTCCATTTCTCATGCTTTATAATGTGCTTATCATTGCTTTTTTCACTAAAATGGATTTTTACTATGCTAAAAGAAAATGATTGGAAAGAAATCCATTTCTATACATTGCTGTCAACTAATCACCATTGGGCAGCACCCAGAGAGGACCATAGCCACTGTGTAGGATTGTGACCCTCAGATTTGTCCAGAAAGCTTCATTTCCTTTTGACCATGTGGAGCCCAAGGATGGATGGCAGGGGCAGTAATTCATTGCACTGGGGGAGGAGATGGGAGGGCGTTCCGTCTTAGGTCCTCCTTTGCCTCCCTCCCACTACCTTTCTAGTCTCTGAGAAATACTGGCCTGGACAGAAATGACACTTTTTACTAGAGTTTTTATAGTTCCATTTAAGTTTAATAACAAATATACCCTGTGACTATATGGTTCTACATACTTTGAGATTTGAGGTCACTTTCAGAAAGTTTATCTTCTTTGTTTTTGGTGGTGCTGGGATTGAACTCAGGTCCCCATGCATGCTGGGCAAGGGCTCTACCCTGGCCTGTATACCCAGCCCAGGAAAGCTTATCCTTATTTATTTTTGTGTTGTCGCTGGGAAGGATAGCAATAAGTCATTTGCAAACGAGGAGACCTGGTTTACAGCAGGGTGGCAAACCCTCTGCATTTCTAGTCTGCTGTTCTTTTAAATGAGTTTCATTATCTACTCATGGTGAGACTGTTTTCTAGTTTTTAAAAAATCTATCTAATGATTTGGTTAGAGGAGGTATCCTCCATGCAATTAATAAATTCTTTTCTTTCTTTCTTTTTTAATAAGGCAGGAAATATTTCCTGTGCCCTCAGCCTCTCCAGAGAGTTTCTTCTCTACAGTAAGTGATGATAAGAGATAAGCCAGCCATGGGTCTGACCTCTGCTTCTGGTCTTTAATCCCTACAAGTGAAATATAGCCATCTATTTTATTATTCTAATTTCATATTCCAAGGTATATTTCAAGTTTGGGGTGAAATTTTACTTATGCGCAGATCAGTGTATTGGGGCATTGGGGGAAATTTGTAAGTTAGTTTGAAAATGCTGAGAAGAAGATGCCAACCCATCCCTTCCCAATTTGTTCCTTCAGTGGGGAAAATCCAGGTTGGGAGCTGGTTTCTGCAGAGACATTTTAAAGACTTAGGTTTTGGAAGTAGACAGAGATCAATGTGTGCTGTGTGTGCAAGAAGCAGTGTGACTCAGAGGGTTATTCACTGACTGGCTACCAAGTGAGCACGATCACTTGTTTCTGTTCAAGGTGGCGTTCACTTTGCTGTGCAAATCCTGCCCAGGGGTCAGCTCCAGTCCCCAGCAGGGAGCGCTTTACTGAAAGCACATGTACTAAACTGGAAAGACACGCTTCCTTGCTGAGCTTGGGTAGTTTTGCTTATAATTTTGTGGTTAAATGGCTCCCTAGGTTTTTCCTTTAATAAAGTATTTAGATGCTAAAATAAGATACAAAATCATTAAGTTTTTGTCTTAATGTTTACAAAACATTTCACATAGGACTTTATATCTGCATTTATTCATAACTGTACTAAATGACCTACAGTTTGTCCTCTATCCATGGATTCAACCACCTCAGATTGAAAATATTTAAAAAACAGTTATGTCTATAAGGAACATATTCAGACTTTTTCAGAGTATTTACATCATATTAGGTGCTATAAGTAACTTAGAGATAATTTAAGGTATATGGGAGAGCATGCATAGATTATATGCAAATACTACACCATTTTAAAAAGAGACTTGAGCATCTGTGGATTTTGATGTCCATAGGGGTCCTAGAACCCATCACCCATGTATCCTGAGGGATGACTAACTTCACTCCTTTCTGATGATTTGGCAAGTAGTAGGATATGGAAGTTACCTTATGGTCTTGAAACAGTGGTCTTAGATAGGTGATTAGTAGTTTAAAGAAAGTAACAATGCACCCTCTTTTATCCCTTATGCTTGTTCTATTAAAATCTCTCTCTCTGTCTCAAAGCACCCATGTGCTATCAGAGGTGAGTAAGTAAGGCCTGGAAAATTGAGGTTCCCAGTTCATTTGTAGCTTTGCAATATTTTCATCATTTCCATTCTTCAAAGCTTCATGTGTCCTTTCGCTGGGAAGGACTCATAATTCCTGCCCCCTCCTTTCCATTTTTTACAGGGTGGTGGTGGGGTTAGAAACACAGTGGGGTCCTTGGGTACTTTCAGAGCATTAGAAAAATTCAGCACCTCATCCTGAGATGTGCTGAGAATCC